CGCCCTCCTTCTCTCCTCTGCCTCCTCCCCTCCTCTGCCTCCTCCCTGCCCTCCTTCTCCTCTGCCTCCTCCCCTCCTCTGCCTCCTCCCTGACCTCCTCCCTCCTCTCCCCTTTCCTCTCCCTCCTTCTTGTACCCCCTCTCGCCCTCCTCCCTGCTCTCCTTCTCTCCCTCCATTTCCTCCTCCCCCCTTCCCCACCCCGTAGGCACAGCTACCCGGTGGGCAGCCTGTGGTGGTGTCTCTTCTCTCCTGGCTCTCAGCGTAAGGAATCTGCTTAAGCTGCCACACTTGAAGAGGAGAGTGGGGTCTCGACCCAAAGTCTGGGGTTCGAGTCCATCAGCTCCCGGTTCACACCTGCTCTTTGTGACTCACCACCTTGCTAAGCCTCAGTTTCCCCTTCTGTCAAAGAGCAGGATGATAGCACCTGCTTTGCAGGCACTCTGTTGAGACGGGAGTTAGTGAGTTCCCAGTAAGGCGTGTCACGGTCCTGGTGAGCCTGATAGTCTGGGCCCTAGGTTCAGGCTCTTCTCGGGCAGCCCCTGCCCCTGTCCGTGGCCAGGGCCTTCGTGGCCAGGGACTTCATGGCCGCCTTGGTCAGGGCGGGTGGCCGTGTCTCCCCATTGCTGCTTCCCCGCCCCTGCCTGGCCATCTCCCCATATGCCGTGGGGGTGGAAGCATCCTCACCCCTCCTGCCGTCCCACCCCTGCTGCACGCAGCGTGGATGTAGGATGCTGGAGGTCCTCCAGCCTCACGTGCTGAGCTCTGGCTGGTGGGTCGTGCTCTCGGGGCGTCATGGCGAGGTCCAGGCTCACTCTGCAACAGTGTGTCCTCACACTCTCTGAAGACCACCCTGGACGTGGCTGAGCCCAAACTCTTGACTGTGCAGCCACACCCCCTGGAGGCCTGGGATGATGGTGTCATCTGTGAGCAGTGACCTGGGCATCATGCTCAGAGAAAGGGTTTTGAGTGAGTCTCTCACCTCTGTCTCCAGCTCTGGCCCCAGGGGGCCTGGGGCAGTGTCCAGACCCTCCCTCCGCCTCAATGGGTGAAGCCAGCCTTCTCGGGAAGGTCGGCCAGCAGCTCTGCTATTCGAGCTTCGCCTGGAGCCCAGTCCCAAGATGGGTGTGCTGGTGGCGGCCGCAGCGCTGACAGGCCAGCTCGAGGCTCCCAGGGGCCTCACAGGGATGACAGCACTGGCTGCAGAGAGAGCACCTGCCACAGAGACACACATGGGGCCCAGCACTCCTCGCGGCCCGGCTTTCTTCAGACACGGGGGCCTTGTATCCCCCGTCTCGGGAAGCCTCACGACAGTCCTGGGCCATCGCTGCAGCCCCTTGGCTGCCAAAGTGTATTTGGGGACCTAGAGGTGCCTGCCTATGCACACATGCAGCGCCCACGGCCCTGGTTCTCCTTTCCACCAAGTCCCTGGCTCAGAGGACACTGTTGGGTGGAACCTGGTCCCACCCATCAGGCACTTCTGGTGCATCTCTGCCCGAGGCTGGAGGGCGCGGTGTGGGGAGAGCCAGGCCCTCAGACGCCGGAATCCCCCAGCCTGCCGCGCTTGTGGGGCCTGGCCTGGGCGTTCCTGCGTGTCCTGCTGTGGTTGTCAGTGAACACCTGGGGGCGTTTTCTGGGAAGCTCCCCACACCTGGCCCCTCCAAACGGGTGACTGGGTACCCAGTGTCTGTGGTGGCCTTGGGGGGCCTGGTACTGAAGCTGCTTGAGAAGGTGTGGGTTTTCTTCCTGGCTGAAGAGGCGCGTCTCACGCACTGAGAGACTGTGGTGAACACCGGGCCTAGCTGCTGGGGTCTGCGAGGTGGGGGACCCGGGCTGCCAGCAGAATGGCCAACGGTCTCTGGAGGCTGCCTGGTGGCTACTCGTGGGCGTTTCTCAACACTGGGACGTCAGCAGAGATGGGCTGTGGTGAAAGAGGCGGCCTCAGGGCCCACATCCTGCTGGAGGCTTCTCCTGGAGGCGGCCGCGCGTTTGCTGGCCGTGGAAGCTCTGAGCACCAAGCACGCTTTGGCCGTGCCCCAGGGACTTTTGGAGGGCTTGCCCGCACACACCACCTTCGGGCTTTCTTGTCTGAAACCAGTTCCCGACTCTTTCCCTGCCCCCTGGATTTGTGGAGAAGAACAAGAAGCGGGTGCATCTGAGAAGCTTTTCGGGAGCCACCTCCCCACCTTGTCAAGCTTGACGCCGACTCCGAGGGCAGGGTGCCAGTCATTCTGCTCAGCCCGGAACCTGCTTCTTGGGGTGATGTGAGGCCTCCCGCATCCAGTCCACTGTCTGTGCGGCCGTGCCTGTGACCCCCCTTGCTGACAGCAGCCCTTGGGGAGTGAGAGCATGTGAGGGGTGGGGCTGGGGGTCCAGTACTCCCCTTGAAGTGGGGGAGCTTTCTTACCTGGCCCACCTGCCACCAGATGGGCATATGGCCTGGCCAGTATAGGCTCCTTCCCCAGCCCCAAGGCAGGCAGCCAGGGCCTCCCCCGTGGTGCCACAGCTGCCCTGAATCTGGCCCCCCCGGCCCTGCTGCTATGTATCCATTTCACAGCCCCCCATCCCATTAGTTCTGTCCAGGTTCTCCACCCAAGGTCAGAGGCAGGATTGGCATTGACCCTGTGTACGGGTGGCCGAGACACACATGCCTAGCAGAGGCCAGCAGAGTGGCTCTCGTACCGATGGAGAAACCGAGGCTTAGAGCTGGGCACTGCCTTGGCCAGAGTGGGAAAGCCAGGGTTAGACCCAGGGCTTCAAACTGGTTTGTTCCAGTTTGACCCCCTTTGCACCCCAGATATACTGAATCAGAATCGACATTTAAGTAAGACCACAGGTGATTCTTATGTATACATGGGAACTATTAAAACGTAGACATATACATAAGAATCCAGATTTCTAGATGGAAATCTCATTAAAACGTAGATTCTGATTGAGTATATTTGGGGTGAAAAGGTAAATTCTCAGCAGGGGGTCAAACCAGAAAGAACCGATTTGAAGTCCTGGTTAGAATAGGGCTCCTGGGCTGGCGCTCACATCCCTGTTTGCACTGACCCTGAATCAGGACTTGGGGTCAGCATGCAAGGGGAGCCGTGATGGGGGCAGGTGACTTCAGCGCAGGGCTGGGGGCCACGCGGTTCTGTGTGGCACCTCCCTGAGCACATCACCTTGGGGCAATGGGAGATCTTGGCTAGATTTCCCAGAGGGGGCCCCTGGGGAGCCCCATTTACCATGAAGGTGGGCGAGGAGGGGTGTTTGGAGGGGCTGGCGTGGGTTGGGCAGGGCTGGGCCCAGCAAACCCCGGAGAAGAGACAGAGAAGGCTCCTGCCCAGGCAGGGGGCCCCCGTCTCTGCATCAGGGTCTGGGTCTGTGGGATGAGGAGAGGCTTGTGCCTTCTCAATCCCTGTGCGGGTGGGGGGCTGCCCCAGAGACTGTGGGAGGGGCCAAGGGGCCCTTAGGCATGCAGCAGAGGAGAGTACTTCTCGGCTTCCTCCCACATCTATGTGGGGGCCCCACGCTGCTGGCTGCCTCCTCCCGTCCACTGTCCCCTCCCCCTGGAGTCCAAAGTGCCCTGGCCGGTTCTACCAGACAGGCTCACCTAGGTGAGAGGGACAGATGGCAGCTAGTCCAGGGCCGAGCAAGAGTCAGGCCTGTGAGGCTGGAGCCTCCAGGTGTCCCTGAGCACCTGGGGCGATGTACCCCACACAGAGAACACGCATGCATGCGGGCACACACACGTGCACACACCCTCACCCAGGCATCTTACCCTCTTCAATCCTAGGGGCCGTCCAGTCACGTTTGTTTTGTCTTACTGCCCCCTGGTGGCTGGGCTAGGGCAGACAACTGTAGGAAGAGGGGGATGGATGCAACACTCCTGGGGCACCGGGGTCCAAGCTGGGGGTGAGTGGCGGATCAGCTGCGTGGCCCACAGTCTCTGCCAGCTGCCTGCCGCACGCACTGCATGCACACGCCTCTCAGCACCACAGGGGCAGCTGGCGGACAACAGCTGCACACAGGCTGAGCCGCAGGGCAGGCAGGGGGACGTGAAGCGGGACCGGGAAGGGTCTGCACAAGGAACGCCTCCCCACCCAGCCCCCTGTTCCAGACCTTTCTGCTGCCCCTGCGGCAGCCACAGTCCCCGTCAGCCAGCTGGGATGCTCTTTGGAGGAAGGCCAGGCACCCACACGGGCAGCCGCCTGTCTCCGGACATTCCTGTCTCTCTGACCCGTGGCCGCCGCAGATGGGCGACCGGAGTCTGGAACTTCAGGTCCCACTAGGGGCTGAGTAAGAAAGGGATTGTGACTGGAATGCGTGTTGATGGTGTCCTCGGGCTGGAGGGGGTGACCAGCCGGTGGCCCCAGCCCGGGCTCCTTGGCGACTCAGGAGAGGCCAGTGTGTGACCAGGCCGCCCCTTCCCTGCAGGACTTCCTGTTTGCCTCCAGCAAGGGGTGCTGCATCTCTGTGACCCCTGGGGTGTGGTATATGGAGGGGAGCTGGCTGCAGCCACGTGGCCAGAGGGCATTTTCGCCCCCCTCCTTTGCTGTGGACTGAAAGATTCTCTTCTTCTCCCCATCCCGCCTGTCGCCCCGCCATGGGGAGAAGTCGGCCCAGTCAAGCCCCTCCAGCTCCAGCTCCAGCGCAGACTCCAGCTCCGACTCGGATTTCGAGCCATCCCAGAACCACAGTCAAGGTGGGCACCACAGGAGGGGTGGCTGAGAATCGGCAGGGGGTGTCCTACCGGTGGGGCCCTCGTGAGCCGGCCTGGGCGGGGGTGGGGGTTGCGGTCAAGCAGAGAGCCGGGGGTGACCTCCTGAATATCTTTCCCACGGCGGCTCACTTGGTGCCGAGTTTCAGCCGTGAATGCAGTCCCTGTGTCTGGAAGCTTTTGCTGCCCGCGTGCTAACTCTTCCAGCTCACCGGGGGCTGCGGCTGCAGCTGCGCCGGGCTGAACTCAACCCCGCGGCTCTTCAGTGTACGGGGCTAGCCCCGACTGCCCCCGAAGGCCCACCCCGCAAGTGTGCGGTGGTTCTGGGGAGACAGTACTTAAAGCAGCGACAGGCCCCCAGACCGCCTCCTGCCAGGTTTGGGAATGCTGTCCCTTTGGTGGCCTCTGGGGTCTGCCCCCCCAGGGCCCTCGCCATGTGTGGCAGGGCTTTGAGCTGTGCTGATAAGGTGCTGGCGTCTGGGGGTGGATGCAGACAGTAGCCCCCCTCTAGTCTGGGCCTGCCGGTTGCCAGGAGCCCCTTTCTCCAGCGGCTCCCAGTGGAAGCTCATTGGCCACCGTTCAGCCCCATTACAGCAGCTTCCCTTCTGCCTACGGCCTGGTCAGCTGGGGTCTGGCTCTGGGCTTAGGGCAGGAATGCCCTGCCGGGGGTCTGTGCTTGGCTGCGGCTTGGCTGGCCACCAGTCTCTGCATCCTGGCTTCTCTCCGCAGACAGCCGACAGCTGGGGGGTGGGGGGTGCTCAGCCTGCCCCAGAGTGGGGAGGGGGCATGCTCGGGTGACGGTGGGGGGCCTGCGAGGACCCCTTGTAGACAAGAAGAATTTACTGGAGATGGAATGAGTCTCCTCCTCTGCAGCCTGGAATCCTTTTGGGGGGTGGGCGACGGGTGTGCATGGGGGGAGACCTGGGATTGAGCTGCGCAGTCGCCGAGGGGGGCTGGGGGATGGTGTACAGGAAGCCCGCACGCCCTCCAAGTGCTCTTATCTGGGAAGGGAGGGAGGGGGAACCTGCTGGAGCGGGATCATGTGACTAAGGTAATTGAGGGCTTTGTGTCCCTCTGTTGCCTTGGTAACGGGAATATAAACCAAGATGCCGTCGGTAGGGGACTGGAACTGTGCGCCTCTGGAGAAGGGAGGACGGTGGGCGAGCAGCCGTGGAGGGCACCACCAGGGGGGTGGGCGGGCTTGAGTAGCGGGTGCAGGCTGGACAGAGGGGCTCTGTCCCGGCCGCCACTGCCCTTAGCCCAGGGGAGGGTCCACCGGGCAGAGCATCGGCACCGGCTCTGTGCGCACCCTCCCTGCCGAGGGCCACCCATCTGGGCACCAGGAGCAGAGGAGGGCCCCTCACCACCGGGATGGAGGCGCCCCACGGCCCTGCCACAGGCCCATGCCCTGAGGCCAGGGAGCAGGGTCTGGAAGGTAGGGGCCGGAGGGGCCTGTGCCTAGAAAGGGTGTGGTGCGGGGGCGGGGAGACGCGGGCCGCTGGAGAGCAGGTTGTGTGTAGATTCAGGGTCCCTGGTGTCTTGAGACCCCTGGCCCTGCAGAGCCTCACCCCCTCCCCCCCGCCTGCCCTGCCCTAGGCCCCCTGCGTTCCATGGTGGAGGACCTGCAGTCCGAAGAGTCCGAGGAGGATGACTCTTCGTCGGGCGAGGAGGCCACCGGCAAGACGAACCCGGGGCGGGACTCCAGGTGACCGGGCCCCAGGGGGTGGCAGGGCGGTGGTCAAGGGCCACTGTCTGGTCTGCTGTGATGGGGGGCTCAGCTCGAGGGCCTGGAGTGCGATGTTACAGCCGGGGCTGGCACCCAGGTCTCAGCCGGCCAGAGGCTGTGCCAGGACTGCGGGGTCCTCAGGAGGACGGAGTGGGGTCAGGCTGGAGGGATGGGGTGTCTGTGCTGCTGGATGTTGTCAGGTCCCAAGCGGTCTCTCTGCCCAGGCTGGGTGTCGGACCTGTGGCCGTGTGGTCTCTGTGGCAGGCCCTCCTAGGTTTTCCCATGAGGGGCCTTTGGCGGTGTCCTTCGTCATTGTCACTGGACGGTGTGGGCAGCCTGGCAGGGAGATGGGACATTCAGAGCAGTTGCAGTGGTCGTTGGAGAAGGTGTGGGGGAGCAGGCAGGACCCAGGAGCCGGAGGGCTGGTCCTGGTGTGAGGTGCATGAGGGGAGGAAGGTTCTGCCGCTCACGGCCGTGGGACGTGTGTGGCATGGGGCCAGGCCATCACTGGGGGCTCTGTCTGACCTGCAACACCCCGGCCCAGAGTAGGTGAGCCAAGGCCCGTTCTCCAGGTCCCCAGCTCCTCAGCGCAGCTCCCCCCACCACTGCTGCCCGGCCCCAGGCTCACGGGCCCAGGTGAGAGAGTCCCTGACGGTAGGTGGATGGACAGCGGCCCCTTTCAGAGCCGGGAGAGACGTGACTGAGGACAGGGCATGGGAGGGCTCCGTGCTGGCGGGTTACTCACTGACACCGCCCTCCCGCGAGCTGCAGGCTGTGAGAGGCCCTGTAAACCGGTTGCTAAGTGCTAGCACCGCCCCCCCCCCCGCCCCAACACACACCACTGAGTGAGGTGTGCACAGGTGGGTGGCAGGCCTCCTGGGTGCAGGGTAGGCCCCCTAGAGCTCAACACCTCCACTGGTGCGGATGCACTCAGTATCGATTCTTCTGGACGCGGTGAGGAGCTAGAGTGGGGCAGGCGCAGGCCCAGTGCTCCGGGGGCTCACAGAGCCTGGCAGCCCTCCAGTGCCTGGGGGTTAGTGACCACGCGGGCACTGGCGGAATGGAGTGCTGTGGCCAGCACAGGTGGGGAGTCTTGCTCCAGATGCAGAGTGCCCCCATCCTGGCCTGTTCCACATTCCAGCCTGGCATCCCCGGGCAGTGGGAGCATCACACTGGCCGCCTTGTGCTGGCCTCTCTGGGGGTGGCTCGTGGCCAGGAAAGGGAGGCCGAGCTCTCAGGCCCCAAAGACAGTGTGGGGAGGCCCTGCAGCTGACAGCTCAACTTGGGAGAAGTTTATCCAGGGAGAGTGATGACACCCTGGCACCAGGGAGGGAAAAGGCGCCATCAGGAGCCAGGGCTGTCTGCACTGCTGCGCCCTGTGTCAGCCTGGGAGGCACAGCCCAGAGGTATTGCAGCCGCGCCTTGGGCCCTTCCTGCCTTCAAGGCCACAGGGAGTCCCCCCCGGAGGAGGGAGAACATGGCAGGTAGGACTCCCCAAGTGTGGGCGTGTCGTGAAGTGACAGCTGTCCGGTTCCCTGGTACTAGGTCAGGCCCAGCCGTCCGCGACGCCACAGGGACCCCAGGCACAGGCTCTGCCTTGGGGGTCTGCGTGCTCCAGGGGGCAGGCCCCATAGAGCAATGTTCGGGGCTGGGGAGGCCTGGTGGGGGGTACTCTGCACAGCAGGAGGTTCTGGAAAAAAGAAGAGAAATGGGCCAGCACATGTGATCCGGACCGACGTCGGGAGAGGAGGTGTGGCTATAAGAAGGGTTCAGGCTCAGTCGAGGAGGGTGTCTGGCCTCTCTCCCTCCCCCGGTAACCGGTGACATCCGATGTGGAGAGCCAGGCCCTCCCCGGCGCATTCCTGAGAAGAGACGGAGGCGGAGCGCATAGGGACCTGCCCAGAGTCTCACTCTCGCAGGAGGTGGACGCCGAGTTGACGGGGCTCCCGTCGGGCCTGGGGGTGTTGTCAGGACTTGGTGTTGAGGCGGGCTCCAGAGCTGAGAGCCGGTGCGGGGGCGGAGCAGGGCCAAGCGGGGACGGAGGAGGCCGGGTGGGGGCGGAGCCGACTACGTGAGGGCGGAGCGGGCCGGATGGGAAGCGGAGCAGACCGTGTTGGGGGCGGAGCTGGTCGGGTAGGGGCGGAGCTGGTCGGGTAGGGGCGAAGCGGGCCGTCCCAGGGCTGAGAGCTGGGTGGGGGCGGAGCGGGCCGCGTGGGGCGGAGCGGGCGGCCTTTAGCGCCCCTGGGAGTTAGTGCTCGCTGTGCTTCAGGTGTTTCTCCGTTGGAGGCCCTGTGCTGACTGCCCCCCCCCCTTTTTTTTTTTTTACCTCAGCTGTGGCTGCTTAGAGCGTCTCCATAATGCGGGGGGTATGGGGGGGGCACCTCTTAGGATTGGAGGGCCAAGCGCTTGGCAGCCACAGACCCAGATTTGGCACCTTGGGGCTTGCAGGGTAGGCGGGCAGAGGAGCCTGGGGTGGGTGTATGCAGACGCGGTCAGCGGGGGCCTGATGTCCCGTGTCGCGTGTCCAGGCTGAGCTTCAGCGACAGTGAGAGCGACAACAGTGCCGACTCCTGCCTGCCCAGCCGTGAGCCCCCACCCCCCCAGAAGCCACCCCCACCCAACAGCAAGGTGAGCCCGGGGACCCTGTGCGGAGGAGGGCAGGTCAGGGGTCTCTGCCAGTGGGGGAAGCCCACAGGGCGGCCAGCTCGTCTCCCCCCGCATACGTTGGGATGCAGCACGGGAGGGCTGGAGCCAGTGCCCCGCCTGGGCCTGGGTTCTCCCGAGGGGCCCAGTACTTGGCTGGGGGAGACAAGCCTGTTCTGTGATGTTTGAGTCAGATCAGAGAAGGGAGTCACCTCCCTCCCCGTGTGCAGGCTGGCCCAGGGGCTCAGGAGAGTTCTCAGCAGGGTCTCGGGGCAGACCTGGGGGTTTGTAGAGCACCTGGGGGCGGGTGGGTGCTCAGGAGTCCTGGGGTTTGCCCTGCAGGCGTCAGGTCGGAGGAGCCCCGAGTCCTGCGGCAAGTCTGAGAAGATACTCAAGAAGGGGACCTACGACAAGGTGGTCAGGCAGTGTGGGGATGGGCGGGAGGGAGGCTGGAACCCCCGAGGCCCCCAGATCCTCAGGTGGGGGTAGCCCTCCCTCCCCTGAGAGCCCCAGGCCCCCTCTCGCTGTGTGCGGCAGCCGGGCTGGAGCGGCTGTGGGGAGGTGACCAGCAGCGGGCGGGGTGGGCCTGGGCGGAGGGGCCGGGCCACCGCTGACGTCCCCCGCCCGCAGGCCTACACAGACGAGCTGGTGGAGCTGCACCGGCGGCTGATGGCCCTCCGGGAGCGCAACGTGCTGCAGCAAGTAAGAAGGGCCGTGTCCGGGGGCCGCCGGCGGCCCGGGGCGGGGCAGGGTGGCCCCTTCCCCTGCTCCAGGCCCTGACGTGCTGCCCGCCTTCCAGATCGTGAACCTGATCGAGGAGACTGGCCATTTCAACGTCACTAACACCACTTTCGACTTCGACCTCTTCTCCCTGGACGAGACCACCGTGCGCAAGCTGCAGAGCTACCTGGAGGCTGTGGCCACATGACCCCGGGCCGCCCGGGCCTGTGTCCCCGGGGCCCCGGGAGCCCTCGCCGGGGCCCCGCCTTCCTTCCTCTCTCTCCACTCGCCTGCCTGCAGCGCTGCCTTAGCGACCGCCCTGTCCTCGGCCCGCACAGCCAGCTGCACTTTGCTCGGCGGTGCCCGGCGCGCCCTCCCCACCTCCTCCACGGGGGCCCCGGGGCTGCCCGCGGCCACCCTCATGTACTCAGCTCGGCCTCCCCCGGAGAGGGGTTGGCGTTGAAGACGGTGCCGGGCCACTCGTGCGGAAGTGGAAGAGATGTGTCCAGCCGCGGGCTTCTCGCCCAACCTCGGGACCAGCCCCCAGGGTGGCGGTCTGTCCCCCCAGCTCCATGGCAGGGTGTGTGGGCGGTGACAGCCGGGCCATTCTCACGGCTGAGAGCATGCCCACATTGGGAGGCCGGAAGGCTCCCTGGAGGCACCCACCCCGCCTGGGTAGAGTCCACAGTGGCCACCCCCTTCCTGCCGGCCTCCCGGGCCGTGCTGTACAGCTCTCTCTATATTATATATATGTATACACCGTGGTGTCTGACGGTCGAGTGTGCGTCTCCCTGGCAGCAGTGGACGTGGGGGGTGGGGGGACAAGGTTGGACGTGTAGATTAAGGTGTCTCTACTAGTCTTGTCATTGTTGCGATGGAGCGGGCCTCTGAAGCACTCACGTCCGCGGCCTCCAGGCCACCTCATGCGGGAGAGGCCTCCGGTCACCGTTCCAAGGACGTCTCTTCCGCCCTGGGCGGCCAGTGAACACTAAAAATGGGGTGCTTGTCCTCAGGAGCCTGGCCAGCTCGCCACTGCCGGCACCTAGTCAGCCTAGCGCTGAGCTCTGGGGACTGACCCTTGGATCCCCGGGCGGCAACGAGGCTGCCCAGGTCTGTTCTTGGGGCTCACACTCCTCCTCCTCTTATTATTGTTGGTCGAGTCTTCGAACTTGTAAACAATGAGCTTTTGCCAAATAAGACGGGAAAGTTTGTGGGGTTTTCCGAGGAGCCTCCGGACTCAGTCAGTCCTTGTGTGTGGCTCCTCTCCAGGCGCGCTCCCCTGCGCTTCATACTGGTGCTGCGCTGGCCCAGGCCCCTGCGCGCAGGGATTCTCCAAGGGCCCAGGGCTCCTCCTCTGCCTCCCTCCCAGCCAGGGAGTCCGCCTTCTTGTTCACAACCTCTGGCTTGAAGGAGGCGCGGGGAGAGGAGGCCTGGGGCCAGAGGTGCGCCGCTTTTCCAGCCCAGTGTCTGATGGCTCCTCTTCCCCCAGGTTAGGACTTCAGGCATGGGGGGCTCCAGGCTTTCCTCCTGTGATTCCATGCCCCTTGGTATCTGATTGGATTCCCCCCATCGGAAGACTCTGAACACTCCCTGTGGGCGAGCCTTGTCTGCAGTCTCATGGTTAACTCCCAGCATCCCATTCTGAAAACTTCCAGAGGAAACGAGGACTCCCGCTGTCTTCCTCCAAACCCCACAGCCCCAGGGTATCGGGAAGAGGGCAGGTTCCTGCGGCCCCATCCCTCCCCACAGGCCAGCAATACTCCTGAGTGGGGTGCCTTTCTTCTCAGAAAACTCTCCAAGATATTGGACAAACGCGCTGACCTGACGTGGTCTTCCAGAAGGCAGAAGCTGCTCGGCCATCTGCACCAAGAGGCAGGCAGGTGGCCACGGACAGGAGCCCCGGCCCGAGGCCTGATCTTCACACAGTGTCTGGGAAGGGCTGTCAGGATCCTGAGCTCCATGCGGCGACCCGGGCAGCCCTTCCCCCGGAGCAGCCACTGGAAGGCGGCAGGCCAGCTGGCGTGCCCACCCGCCAGTCCCAGGGCCTCGGGAAGCACCAGCCCATTTCTCAGTTACCTCCTTGGCCGGAAGGCCCCCACTGCCATTCTCTGGAGTGGCTTCGTGACCACCAGGTGGAAGGCCAGCCCTCCGGGCCCCACCTGCGGCATTCCCAGCTGCTCCCACCCCACCCCGGCTGCCGGACAGTTGGGCCCGCAAGGGCTCCGGGGACACTCGCATAGGAAGGGGCCTGGCGCTTTTTGATTGCCGCGTGTTTCATGTTAAGCCCCCCCCTCCCAAGTCCCCAGTGCAAATCCCTGTGTTTTGCCCTCTCCCGAACAAACGTAAACCGACACCTAAAGGAAAAGGTATCGGATACCTTCCTCACCCATGAGGGTTTTCACAAAGAACGTGTCTCAGTAGGAGCTAGGACGTCCTTTGACCCAAGACCAACTCCTGGATAAAAAGAATAAGGAGGCTCGTGTTTGTAATAAGTCACAGGATTGTTTCTGCCCTGAATTTTAAACTTTTTGTTAAATTGTGAAATTATGGAGGAGTTTTATAGAAAAAAACTGAAATAAAGTCAAATGGAAAAGCTGGCCACGTAGTCTCATGTGTCTGCTTGGTTGCACCTGTGTGGAGTTGGTGGGCAGGACCACCTATCCTCATGTTTGGGCCCCTCAACCCCTTACCTGTCCTGTGCTTTTCAGATCAATGGCCGGGAGAGGAGGGTGGGAACCAAACCTGGTGGGGCTGTAGGCGGGGATGGGGGCTGTGGGCAAGGTTGGCATCCTAGAGGGATAGAGATGGTGCCACCAGAAATCCAAGAAGGCAGAGAATTCAGTCCGGGGTCCTGCTTTTCATGCTGTGCTCCTTCCTTGGAAGCAGGTAGCATGGTTTGGGTCGAAATACCTGATTTCACAAGATGGGTGGGTGGGGGATGGATGAGTGGACAGGTGGGTGGGTGGATGGATGAACAGTGGGTCAGTGGATGGGTGGGTGGATGGATGGGTGAATGAACAATGGATGCCTGTGTGGGTGGCTAGCTGGCTGGGTGGATTGGTGGATGGCTGGGTGAGTGGACGGAGGGGTGGGTGGCTGGGTGAATGGATGGGTGGGTGAGTGTGTGGGTGAATGGACAGGATGGGTGGGTAGATGGATAGATGGGTGGGTGATGGAAGAAAAATTTGTTTAAGGGCAACCTTTGCCAGGTGCCAGAGTGACCGTGCCAGGCGTCAGTGGTGGGATTTTGGTCTGGACTCTGCGGCAGAGCTGAGTGAACCCAAGGAGACAGAGCCTTGCATCTCCTGTGTGATCTCTGCTCTGTGGGCTCTGGCGCTGCCCACAGGAACGGGCATTCTGTGGTAGACATTGCAGGCCGATACCCTCTGGCCCTCCCCTCCCCCCCAGCAGTGGCAGCCGCTGGGTCAGATCACTTTTGTCAGCAGGCAGCAGCTGGAGGAACGCAGGGCATGGCTTGGCACTAGGTCACTTATGCTGTCTTCTCCCAGAATTCAGCGTCCAATATCAGGACAAAACTGCAGGCCTTTGGGGACAGTTTCTAATCTGAGCTCCTAAAAAGTAGGGACATTGAATGAAAGAAGCTCTAGAGTGGTCCCTCACAGTCCCCAGACCCCCCATAACACACAGTAAAAACCCATTGCCGTCCAATCGATTCCGACTCATAGTGACCCTATAGGACAGAGTAGAACTGCCCTATAAGGTTTCCAAGGAGCAGCTAGTGGATTCAAACTGCCAACCTTTGGTTAGCAGCCGAACGCAGCCAGGATCCCATAACATAGTAGAAGTGTTTGTATGTAATAACGTCGCTGCTGTTGAGAAGGCTCCCATCCACAGCAGAGCAAAACGTTGCCCGATCCTGCGCCATCTTCACAATCGTTGGTCTGCTCAAGTCCTTTGTTGCAGCCACTGTGTATTTTGAGTGCCCCCCAACCTGGGGGAGTCTTCCAGAGCCCTCAGAATGAGGCCAGGGTGAGGGGTCCTTCCTTTCGTGCAGGGTCCCTCCTGTTCAGCACTGCTGACATGGGCCTGGATCCTTGTCTGGGGTGGGGACTGTCCTGGGCACTGTAGGGTGTTGAGCAGCCAGTAGCACCCAACCTCCTAAGATGTGACACCCACAAATGTCCCCCAAAACAACAAAACCAGTTGCTGTCATGGTGCCCCCATGTGCATCACAGTAGAACCGCGCTGCATGGGGTGCTCAAGGGCTGTGTCTCCAGATGCTGCCTGTCTCCTGGGAGAAGGAGGGGGGACGAGCCACTGCTTTTAGTAAACCAGTTTTATTACTGTTAAATTTAAATTTCAAACGCTACCCCAGAGAGGGGCATCATAGTTTAGAAACTGGGGCTCCCCACTGGGAGCAGCCTCCAGCCATCTCAAAAGCGATTCCCTTAGAGTCAGCTGGGGGAAAGGGAGGGCCAGGCACAGACGCTTCCATGCAGAAGGGAATCCACAGGGCCTGTCCCTCCCGGGCGGCTAGTCCTCCTTGCCATCCTGGTACCAGCTTTCGATTTCCGCTTGGTATGTTTGGGCCACGACGGCCCTCTTCAGTTTGGTGGTTGCCCCTGGAAGAGAAGCGAGTCTTGCTCTTCACAGGATCCCTGAGCACCTTATTGCCGCCACCCATCACCAGACAGGCGAGGTCGAACCTGTCTTCAGGATGCAGAGGCCAGAGACTCGCCCTCTGCGGCTGAGAAAACAACAGAACAGGACTGGGGCACTACAAGCCTACCCCGAAGTGCCCCGAGAATTTCCACTGTGCACACGAACCGGCCACCGCAGCCAACACATCCTTCCCCACCCCCGGGGAGCCTCGGAGGCGCTGGTTCAACACACAGGTGCCGGCAGCCCACCCACCACCAAAACCAACCAGCTGCCATTGAGTCGATTCTAATTCATGGCGACCCCACGTGTGTCAGAGCGGAACTGTGCTCCATAGAGTTTTCAATGGCTGTTTTTTGGAAGCAGATCACCAGGCCTTTCTTCCAAGGTGCCTCTTGGTGAATTCGAACCTCCAACCTTTCACTTAGCAGCTGAGAATCGATTGCGTCACCAGGGCCTCCCGAGCATCCCACAGCCAGGACTTCAGACGTGGTTTTGGTGAAGCATCAGGACAGGCCACGTGGCCACAGCCCATCTCTAAAGCTCAGAACAAGCCTGCCCTGAGGAGGACCTCTCTCCCTCCCTGGGGTCCATGCCCACCCTTGCCGCCCACTCACCAAGCTCTCCCCCAGCCACGGAGAAGTCAGTGTCCAGAATCTTCCACTTGACGATCCTGGTG